GTAACAATACTGTATTGTCTCTGACGTAACACGTGAGAGGGCCACCCTGAACTTTTCTGTTTAATTTTCAGAAATGTGTCTATGCAGATTTTAAAAAGTTGGGTGGATCTTTCTAGGAAATGATAAACTTCGTATATTTTTATAACATAATAGCCACACTAGACTGATTTTTTTCACCTCTTCAGTAACCCATGTGTCAATAAACGCTCTCTCATCATCGGTATGATGACATGGGGAGAATAATCTTAAATCGATACATGTGTTACAGAGAGGGAAGTTAATTTACAGTTATTTCTCAGAGGTAAAACAGAATGGCAGAGTTTCCTCGTGGCTAGGATTTTACACTTAATGAAACTGAATTAATTATGTACATCTGAAAAATGTGTTGTAATGGTTACGGGATACCCAACTTGATACTCACAGTACTTATTCGTCCATGGATATAGAGCCATAAAGTCATCCTACTTGATCTGTTTACCCTCCTTCACATCGTACAAAAGTCCCGTAGCATTGACTCTCCTACCCTAGTGACTGTCCCGTATATCTAGGAGAGGAACTACTGTGTGGTCCTTAAGAAAATTAATTAAATTTGTATCAGGTATAAGTGGATTTCATGCATTTAAAATCATGTTCCTAGATCGAAACGACCTTATACCCCACCCCCTACACTCACTGAGCTTCAGGATCGTAACGTACACCACCGTTAAAGGCATGTTAGATATTAAACCCTTCTGACTACTGCAGGTAGTCTAACCATAGTATAATTATCTGACTATGGTTGTTAGATGTATTGTTAGGTACAAGAGCTATAGACCACGGTAGTATAAATTTACTTCTGTATATGGCCACGCTTACAGAAGCAATGGTCCAATATATGAAAGGGTCAATATCATTGGTGAGAAACTCCTCAAATTAACTGTAGCCAGCACCGGTCAAGTATGTTGACGTCAGATCGACAATACCTAAAGAGACAAAAATAAGAGAAAATAAGTACAATGAAAATATATCTACAATATATATATATAATAATGTATGACTTTCATAAATTATTTAATAAAGTGTGACAAACAATTATATTGTCATATTACAACCAACAAAAGATAAAAATATAATAACTGTAATTAGAAAACTGAAAATTGTTAGTGAAAAAGTGTGATACTTCAGTTACCTCGTTCAAATAACCATTTTAATTTGTAAAACATTAATCAAAACTTTCTAGAATGTATAAAGATTAATTATTGAAATGAAAACTATGAAATAGGTCAATCACAATATATGTATAATTTTGTATATAATTAAGTCTCATTGACTTTAACGTTATAATTTGTCATATGTGTATTGATTTTCAACTTATTATAAGTGTCACATTATTAAAACGCTAAATTATATCTTCCATGGAACCTTTTCCTGAACCAAACGTTTGAGCAAAAACCGTTTGATTTCTTGGAAAAACAAGGGTTTGTATATTAATTAACAATTAATTAATATAAAATAATATCTTTGAAATTTGTGAAGTCATTAACAAATAAATCATAATAAATGGAACATTAATAAAAAAAAAATGCAATATAATATCTTCGATAGATATCTATAGATGGAGCCACGTTCTGAAGGAAGAATAGATAACAAAATGACATCTTAGATTTTGAGCGAAAACAGTCTGATTTCTTCGAAAAACGTCCGCTGACGTCAAGAACTTGCATATTAGTTATAAAAAATAATTTAATATTAAATTTGATTATTACAGGCATAATAATAATCGAATTAATTAACCTTTAATTAATAAAACACTAATTAGATATTAAATTGTGCATATTAATTATTACTTGCATAAATTAATTTATTTCAATTTACATATCATTTATATATCAATTACCTAATTGATTAATCTATAATTAATAAAACATTAATTTGATATAAAAAGATGAATATTAATTATTGTTTGCATAGTATTTATATTTGGATATTAATTACATATGATGTCATCCCCCTTTTCTTTGCCCCATATAACTACCAATAGAACACAAAATAAGTTACCTGTTTCTTCAGTAATGAAATAAGTAGTGGGCGGGTTAGAGAGGGACAAAGCTGAATTATTGTGTGTATATTATATCCCACGGAAAACAAACGCGAGGAGGCAATTGCTCCCCCTTGCCTCCTCGTAATTCCGCCTATGAAATAAGTTACATACAGCTCCAGAATCCTTCCAAAAATTCTATCCGTAATAACTATTTAAGATAAAATTGTAAATTGAAACGTTCGAGGACTGGTTACATAGTTTGATAAAGTAGCTCTCCACTCAGCAGAGTTGCAGCTTCAGATTTATCCTAATCTCAGTTTTCTTTTTTTTAGAAAAATTCCAAGTTCATAGGAGAGTGCTATTTTTAAAATTTCTATATTTAAACCACATAAAATCGGTACTTGCAGCAAAATATGAGCAGTAAAAAGATTTTGAGTTTTACAAGCTAACTGGCATATCCCAAGGATCGTGTTAAATTCCATCTTAATAACCAATGAAGTTATATCTGTAGCTTAATTGATCAAACCTTCTGTTGGCTAGCAGAGTTTTGGGCTTGCATCCCGTCTACATTAGATTTTACTTAGAAATATATTAGGAGTGATTTGTTAGTGACAAGTTTGTTAGAAGTTTTGCTATAACATTATCATTCAATTCTTCCAAACTAGGTTAAAGATATGAAGGTTAAATACTCCATTTTTCACTGAAATAAATATATTTTTGTACCTTATAACCTTCCCGAGAATTGTCAATCAGAAAATTACACCAGAACAAATATGCTGAATATCATAGAATTTTATGAATAGCATCTTGTAGATCTACTTTTCCGTGTATTAAAGCTCACCTCCCCCAGTGGCTCAACGGAAAGTCTGAGGGCTTATGACGCTAAGTATCGAGTTTCGATACCCAAGGTGGTCACAACACAGATACCCCATTGTGTAGCTTGGTGTTTCACAGTAACCAAAAAACAAGTGTCTTAAAGTAATCAACAGTAGCCATTAAGTTAGGTCACTGAGGTTCTGGCGTAAATGAATACTATATCACTGATACTGTAATATTAAATTGTTATTCCTAAATACCAGTGAATGAAGAAATAGGTCAACATACGTAATATTGCAGGTGAATATATTTATCATAGTGCATTACATCTAGACGGGTATTAATGAAATAAATGGTTATTAACTATTAAGAACATATATATTTAATATTGAAGATTATTCTACATCAACAGACATCAGAGGGGGAAATACCAAAAATGTATTATCTTTTCAATTCTAAATCAGCTGGACGTTTGGCTTTTATCGATTCAAAGCCAAACATGGGTGCCCCCCCCCCCCAAGTGACACAGCGGTATGTCTGCGGGCGTACAGCGCTAGAAACCAGGCTTCGATATCTGTAGTGGGCAGAGCACAGATAGCCCATTGAACATGATATTATATCTTTGGACTAGTTGTACATGAGTTTCTTTCAGAAAAAATGTTATTTTGTATTTTAGGTTTAATCATTATTTAGGAGAAAAAGGTTGTTTATAAGCCTTCGATTCTGATGGTTTAGGTTCCAATGAGCTGTGATTTCTCATAGTGATGAAATGACAAAGGATATTCAAAATTAGCTTAGATAATTTCTTAAGGTTAACGTAAAATCATATTTCTCTAAACATAGGGGCTATTCAAAGATGGAGAGTACTACGGACCTGGTGTGTTCAGCTATCCAGATCACTTTCAAGAAGTTGGAATCTGGAAATATAACAAGCTCTATCGGCTCTGCTCGTGTGAAATACATCAAGACTTTGTTCGTGAGATGCTACTAGTTGCCCAGAGAATTTCCGATTTTAGAAAGAAGGAAAAACTACAAATAACTCCTACAAAAGTAATCATATATACGTTCATAAGAAAAACACTAAACATTCACTCCAAATATACTTATTAGAATTGACGAATTTTTATTTCTAAAAGCATTAAAAGATATTTGACCATTTAGCCTTGATAGCCTAACTTATACTAGAATAAAATATTTAATTAAATTTTATGAAAACCACTGTCATACATCGCTAATACTAGAAGTTTAGTTTTCTTGAGATTTATGTTTATATACCTTAAGCTATTGTTAGTATTGTTTTGCATATTTATAGGAGAATCTTCTTTGGTTGCATTTCTGTTAACAGACTATGCGATAATTGTAAATACTACATATTTTTCCACAGGGCATTGACTTATTGTGGGAAGGAGGCAACTCTCATGTTAGTGAAAAGCAAATACCTAACTGTTTGAAATTAAGTCTTATGACACAAGATGAAAATCAACCATTGTCATCTGAGGTAGAGGTATACGAAGAAAAATTTTATAATTCGCATCCTCTAGGCAGAAAATACAAGCTTCAAACAGATCGTCAAGGTATCGAAACAGCATTTAACGAAAGCCGAAACTGTGTTGCTATCCATAGTTTTATATTGCGAAACGAAGTATTTGAGGTAAAAAAAAAAACGTTACTTTGAAACTCTACTGTATCTAATATAAAAGAGCAAGAGGTAATTACTCTAAGATGGTTATCTTTGTTTGTTGGAAGTTACACACAAAGCTATACAATAGGCTATCAGTGCTATTCCCACCACGGGTATCGAAACCCTGTTTCTAGCGTTGTAAGTCCGCAGACATGCCGCTGTGCCACTGGGGGGCATTGCCACTGATGGCTCAACCTGATCGTTAGGTGGATTCCCAAATAAGTGATCAGTCCATGTAGTACTATAAAAAAACTTCGCGTAACTAAATTTTCCTTTCACTTCATCTCAAAAAACATGTTTAATGTTCGTGTGTTCTTAAGCAATACATAATAGGTACTTATGCTTAGTAGCCTCAGTAGATAGATTAAACATATGTACTTATATACGAAAAAAAAATAAATCAAAACAATTTCATTTAAACATATAAAAACCATACTCATTCTCTCAATCAAATTTTTGGGTTCTTGTACATTTAAATTACTGCTACTGTTGACATTTTTATATTTTAACACATGTAGATTAATACAGGCATATCTGTTATATTTTGTTAAATATTTAAAACTTGAATGATTGAGAAACAATCAGTATTTCAGAGGGCAACATTTAATATTTCTGGAAGAACGAGATGCTACCATATTCTCTAAAGGATGGAGGGATGTGCTGTAATTTTTTTTTTTTGTGGGGGAGAAAACGATAAAGCATTTTTGTATATATTTCTTTTTGAAGTTCTAAGAATTTTAAGAACGTTAGTTTGGAGCGTGTTAAATTCACAGAAAGTTTGATGTATAATTACAAAAATTTTGAAATATAACAGTTATTTTTAATGAGACAAGAAGAAAATTCTGATGGATGAAACATAAATATTTGGGGCTGTTCACATGCTTTATTTGTGGTTAAACACAAAGCTACATAATGGGCTGTCTGCGCTGTGCCCACCACGGGTATCGAACCCCAATTTGTTTGCGTATACGCCTTCTAGCTTACCACTGAGTCACTTGAAGGGTGTTAATATGCAGTTCTTTTGATACTTTAAACCAACATTGCGTATTATTTTGAGTACAAGTGATCAAAAAATTTCCAGTAACTACAAAAAATAAATTTTAGTAGATGAAAAATACTTTTGCAAACTAATTATAATGAAAATATACAATTTTTAAATGTGAACGAATTAATAAAATTGAAGATATAATTTAATAACAACCTAAGTTTCTGATATTTCGAATTGCAATAGGTTTATTCTCGAATCAGTTATACAGCTGTGTTAATTATGTAAATTTTTTCTGTGATAAAGTCTTGTTTTTATTCTCTGAAAAATACAAATGATAATCTGACTTTCGTATTTTAATGCTATGGTATGGTGGTTTAGTATAATAGTTCACCTAATAAATGCCTATTATACAAACCCAGAATAATTTAAGCCAAGTTTTCTTTGGTGTCGGTTTAATTAAAAATAAAACTGACTGTAAAATGATGTTTATTGGATAGCATAGACGCTGGGTCTAAACCTAATTGAGCGCCTTTGGGATGAGCTTAAGCCTCGCATTCGCTAAATCCTCTGCTAACATTGAGAACCAATTAAAGACCATACTTCTCAACGAATGAGATGCAATAAAACAATGCATATTTAAGCATTTTATGGAGGTTATACCATGCCCAGTCCAAATTATTTTTTCAGCAAAAGATGGTCTAACTGGTTATGAACTGAGGTCCTAATGATATGGCTAGTCAGTGTACAACTAACATCAATCCTCCGCCGCATGTCAGTCTTGACAAAGAATTTTGTTTAAGCAAAGGAAGTATGAAATACAAAAGTTTTTGTGAAAGATCATGCTTGACGTTAATATTTGTTGAAAATGTAAAGAAAGATAATATTTTTTGAAAACATTATAAGTTATTTCTTTTTTTTTTTCATTTCGGTTTCCAGGATTTGGTGGGCTTTAATGTGAGTCAGGTTCTTAAAGGATGCCGACGAGGTTTCGGTAAACCAGGCCTGGTAGAAAACAGTTGCAAAACTTTCCTACTTGCAGCATCTGAAGGCAATATACATAGAGTCAGATCACTGTTTCTTAAAAACTCGATTGATGTTGATATAGCGGATAACAGTGGAGTTACCGGTCTTATTCTTTCGGCAGTAAGTCATTTCTTAAATGTTTGCTCTTTGTATTTGAATAAGTAAAAAAGTAGATTAGTTATTGCACATAGGTATAAAGTGTAAATAAAAGCAACTGTCTGAGAAACAGGGCATTTATTTGCTTTTGTGTACCCTCAGATTACGTAATCTTTTTGTTATTGGTGCACATCAGATATTGAATTTAAAATTTGAGATCTCACTATGCTATAAATTTATGTCAAGAAATAAAACAAGCAATTAATATAATAAAATGTATTTTGGCCCAAGAAATATAGCAGGACATTACGTTTGTTAGGTGTAGGTTATTAACACCAGTTTAATATTGTTTCATCGACAGAATTGCAAAACAATTGTTAGTAAATATGGGCCCGAGGCCTTTTAGTGTGACGAATAAGGATGTCGTTGATGCTCTTTTGTCGTGGTTAGTAATCATACGATTACTTAAGTCAAATTATTAAATACCTATTTCTTAAATATATACAAATTGCTAATTAGATTATATTCTACTTTTTAATAACTGATTTGCTGGGGTCTTGAGGGAAGTCATGAGAAGGAATATTTGTGATGTTAGATGCAGGGACTCAATCCTGAGTCTCTTTCTAAGAAAGGCTAGTGTGCTATCAACTCGTTTGTGGTTTCCAGTAGGACTTGAATACTAACTGTTTGAAATGTTTCAATAGGGATATCCAGATTTTTCTGACTTTTTATGTCAGGTTGATTGAATATATTATGAGTTAGGAGGATGTAGATTGCTTATTTTATCTTCATATTTCTCGTGTATGGTTCATATCCCATTATTTTCCTATTATTTCATTTTACTGTATGGTTTTCTTTTCTGACATGATGGACTATCAATTTTTTACTTTTATCGTTCTTTTTCTTTCCCCATTCTACTGTAGTTCATATTTACAAGAGATGTTGTAAAAGGTGTTTTTTTCTTCTTTCCATTTGGACATAGGTGGTTTGGTGTTTACTAACTGTGAGTGTGATGTGGCTTCTGAAAAACGTTTTGACATATATTTTTCTGATAAACTGTATAATTAATGTTGTTAGAGGTGACCCTAAACGCTCTTGTTGTTGATAGTTTTTATAATCATATTGAAGTATGTTTTATTGGTACAGAAAGTTGTGAGATCTATTATTGTGGAGATTGCCACTAGGATTCGTTCCTTCAGGGTTCTATCATCTTCAAGTTGTTGATTAGTATCTGCCGTAGAGTTTAAAGGGCTGGTAAGTTAGTGAATAGACTGGATACTTTCAAGTTGATTATTGTTTCTTGCGAGGTTATCATAGTAGCTTTCATAATCTCCACAATGTGGACTGAGATCTTAACATTTGGGGAAGTTTTACTGATTAATGGTCATAATATATTTACAACATATCTAGCCTCCTAGGTATCCGCATTTAACTATAGGGCGTACACGGTAGCCTTGTTCGTAAACTTCAGACATTCCAGAGATGTGGTGTACTGTTAGTTATTTCTGTTCCAGGTTCTTTTCGATGTTTCTGAATGAGTTAATTAATCTTTTTCTCCGTATTAGCTGTTGGTTTTGACTTGATATTCGTGTAGTGGTGTGCCCGGCATGGCCAGGTGGATAAGGCGCTCGAC